AAATTCTCTAGTTTTTTTTTTCTTGTATATATAATTTCTTATTTATTTGAATCGAATTAACCTGTCAAAGTGGATGAATTGAGCCCGCATACTGATTTAATTATATTTATTCTCTTAAAGGGACAACCTTGCTCATCTCTACGATGGTTGTTATCATGGAAGTCCATAATGACTAGTAAAGACATATGTCAATTATTGTCGATATTTGAAACTTAATATTTTCACCTAGTCACAAAGATGAGTGTCGTTCTGACACCACCTGACATCTACATCACGATTTTTTCATCAAGTCATCCAATGTATAGAAAAAAAAGATGAAGAGGGCATTCCAGGTTTCTCTTTATCTATTTCCCTCTCCCTCATAAATCAAGTGATCGAGTCAGAATTTAATATATTTCTTAAGATTCTCAGTCAAGACTCTCGTCTATCTCTCTCTCTCATTCTTTCTCTGCAACACGCATTCACGAACAATACGAGGCTCTGTATCTCAAAGAACTTCAACATACGAGCTTCGAGTATGGGGCTTTCCGATGCAAGCGAAAAATATTCAAATTTAATTTTATTAAATTCAAATTTTACAAATTAAGATTTTTGATGGAGTTGAGTTTATACTTAATGGCCTAAATAATCCTTAAAGCCGGCAAGCAAATAGATCCCAATAGCGGTCAAATAAGCAAGCCCCATGTTGAGTAATAGATGATGTCATATTACTCCATGAAAAACTAAATATTTCCATGCATGTCACATCATTCAGTTTACTAATCATCTCTGCCTTTCGTCCATGCATTTATATATTTGATTTTTAAATTATACAAAAAATAAGTGAAAATATAATTGTATATAATTAAATATGAATATATGAGTGTTAAATATACAAATACATAAAATGTTCATAAATTTGACTTTATGCACCTCATAAAAATATTAATTGGATAAATATCTTAATTATTTAATTTTCAAAGAAAAATGACTTTTTTTTTCTTCAAACACAAATGCAATTACTATATCTTTATACTAGGTTTCACTAATTTTGGTGGTTATGGGTACATCTTCTTAATGTTTAAATGATATTTTTATTACATGATAAATCAATTATGTAACGTGTAATACCTAAGTATTGTCAGAATAATTGGTTAATAAATAATAAATAAATAATAGAAAATATATAAAATAAAGATTTAACCTATAAAATTTGAATAATTTTTTACGAGTTTCGTCTTACCATAATATAGAAAATGAAGAACTTTAATTAGTATGATTTTTTTTTTTTTTACGATAATTTGCTCGTGAATAACATGTTACTGTTCTGCTCGATTTTGAATTTGTTTGTCAGACTTAGCTCGTGTTCGGCTCAAAATTAATTCAAATAATTTAATTCAATATGTTCTATTACATCATACAAATTGAAATAATAATATTATAATATTATTATTTAATTAATTTGAACTAAAATAAACATGCATGAGCATATAGAAATTTATCTCGTAATTGACAAAGTCTCTACATCGAGCTTAAAATTTATTCATAAACTTTGGCTCTGTTTGGAGCAGCGGTGTGGGGGCGGTGCGACACCGCACTACTATTTTGGATGTTTGGGAAAACTATGTCTTGACAGTTTTTTTCATGAAACAACCGCTGAAACCAACGTTTTCTAACCGCTTCTGGCTGGGTGCGGTGGAAACATTCTAGCTAAAGTCTGATTTTTTCGAAAGAAAAAATATTTTTTTAATAGTCATCATATTTTTTTCGTAATATCAATTATTCTTCAACAACTCCACAGCCGTTTATTAACACCTGCCCCAAACCTAGCATTTATAAAACAATAGCAATAATTTTTCCTTGTTTTGCAACCCTATCCAAAAGATTAGGCAATCCATTCTACCCATTATTTAATTTATATTTCAAAATTAAACCCTTCATTCACCCTAAAGGATTAGGAATATAAACTGGATGCGACAAAAAAAGTTGCCAGTTTCTTCTGTAACTGACTTTTCTCATCAAAAGCCCATCACTTTCAGTTTATCAGCCTTGTGACTTTTATCGGAAAAGCCCATCTTGATTATCTATATTTCATTTTAATCCATACATAATCCTTAATTTTCTTAATGGAAATTTATTTCATTAATCACAAATAATTATTAATTAATGCAGCTAAACTGCAAAGATATTTTGCTATATTTGTAAATAAGAGAAAGTTAAGTGTTAGTTTCATAAATGTCTAAATTTCGAATGTTAGGTTTGCATTTGATTGGATTGGATTTGAATAGAAGAGCTATTTTTTTCAATTGAAGCACGTGCCGATTTCAGGCCGGTGGTTGTTTGGTGGGAAAGTCAGCTTTTTTATTTACTTGTTCAAAGATGCAGTAATTTAAAATATATTACAAATTTACTTATCATATCATATAACTTAATTCCTATGTATTTGCATATCTAACCCTTAAATTTTGCTTTTTTACATCTATACTGCTCAAAATTTTCAAATTACATCAAAAATATCATTATTTTATTTTTAAAGATATATATATATATATATATATATATATGTGTGTGTGTGTGTGTGTGTGAAAATTATAGTTTAGATGGTGGATATAAAAATATATAGGAATAGTAGAAAAAAGAAGATTGTCGTTGTTGGTTCCAAGTCTGGATGCGAAAAGTGGAAGGTTGCGTTAGGTAGTCGAGAGCCACCGTAAAACTTGTGGAAAAAAATCATAACATGAATACTTTTGAAGGTGAATGAGTGACTTTACACTTAGAGACAAAATGCAAGATAATTAAATTTGTGATGGGGTTGGTGTAGCTTCTGTGACAGACAAAATTAGAGACAAAATTAGAGAAAGTCGTCTTAGATGGTTTGGTCACATTAAATGTCGACCATCTGATGATCTGATTAGGAGAGTAGATGTTTTAGATTCGACTTGTGTTAGGAAAAGCAGAGGTAGACCTAGGAAAACTTGAGCTTATTTTATTAAAAATGACCTTAATTTACTAGAACTAAATAAAAATATGACACTAAATAGGACGCAAGGAGAAAGGTTTGTTGTGGTTGATATTATTAGAATGCATGAGCTCAGAAAGTGCAATTTGAGATTATTTTATTTTATTTTCATCTAATATATATATGTATATAGTTTATCTGTTGGATCAATAATGATCCATCCCCTTTAAAATAATTTATTTATTTATAGAAGAATTGGCTTGACACTAATATCACATGCAGTGGGCGTTTTAAATGATCTGCGGGCGACTAATCATCTTATGGCTCATCCGACTTAGTTTGGTTGGTTTAGCTTGGTAGATCATCCTCAGGAAGTTCATCTATGTTGGGATATTTTGGCCTTTGTGGTTGTGGTTCCAAATGGGCTGCAGATTTTTAGGGGGCTGATTCATTCGTCGAGTTTACTCATGTGTGGGATACACTTCCATATCATTTCCTCTCAGATGAAAATTCAAACATCCTTTTGATGAGATACAGGATAAGCCACTTTGTTGATATCAATTAATCTTCCATTGGTCATTTGATGGCTCGGTTGGCTTAATCTGGTTAGCTCGACAGATCAATCAGCTTAGCATGGTCAACTCGACGGGTCTCACAACCTTTTTTAGATGTCTCTCTTTATTGTGTTCTTTTTTTTAGAACATCAGATTCCTACTAGATCAACAATAACATCATTTTAATGTTCACATTTTAGTTCACATATTTTTCTTGCTTATTTAAAACAATGCGGCGATAAAAATGAGAGAATTAAATATAAAAAGTTAATGAATAAATATTTAATTAATGGCTCGATAATTATGCTCCTTGATTTAAGAGTACACATTCCAATGTCTATTCACTTTGCACCGTTTAGATAGCTTGCCTCGTGCCTTTGCTTGGTTTTATCATTAACAAGCTCACGAAGTCTCTGGCCGACGTTCCAAACAAAAAGCCTAATTCGCTCTCTATTTACCAAAATAAAAAGATGGGGCCGCCCTAAGGGCAGGAGGATAAAGAAAGTTGTAGTGAAGAGAAAGAGGCTTTTGCTACCGAATGAAGTGGGTTTGTCCAACTCAATTTTAGGTGCAATAATCCAAGATGTTTAGTCTGCTGACCATTCCTTGATCCTACCATTTAGCCAACTGCTGCAGCACATGACCCCACTACCAATTGAAAAACTCAAGCGGCTTCTTGGGTGCTTCCATCAGTGCTCCATGGCGCGCTTACGATGTTTGAATTGATTTGGTTGCTAGGTATGAAGGACTTTTGTTATATTTTTGTGGCTTGTGTTATTCAAATTTGGGCTCAATATTTTTTTTATTTGAGATGAAGATGCTTCAGTACTGACATGTTTGGACAAGGGCTTGGTTAGACAATCGGGGAGCATAGAATATGCTGCAAGCGGGATGGGTCAGCTCTCGAGTGAGAATAACGGTGGTGACCGCCCCGACAATCCTCAACTTTCCCTGAGACAGGCGAAGAAGTTGTGGAGGGGGTCCGAACGTCACACGAGTAGTTATGTTTGTCGTATGGATGAGATTAAAAGCTCCCTCGTTCGATCGGTCAGGATCCAACAATACGAGGAGACACACATGCTATTAACTATATTGATGAATGTGGAGCTGAAAATGCTAAATTTGTGTCAGGATCTTTTAGACACGGGAGTAGTCCCAAGTTTGAGGCACAAGCCTAATCAAAGAAGAATTGTTGTATGAGAGGCTTCTTCGATTGGGACATGCCCCCGACTGAAGCGCTGTCAAATTATCTTATAAAATATTTCATTTACTCAAGACCGATTTTACATACATACCACATAAATTTTGATGAATTTAAAAATCTAACAGTTAAAATTTGATATTTATAATTATAACAACTTGATAACAAAAAAAATAAATCATGATATAGTCATTGATGAGGGTATAATTTCTCATTATAAGATTACAAATTTGAATTGCCCATATTATTCTTTTAGGCACACCATTCCTATATATATATTTAAATTTTATTTTTTTTTTGAGTTCAAGCTTTTCTTCTGCCCCACAATGGTCAAGGTACCTCGCTAGTGCGGGATTTGGGGAACTAGGGTTTTGCTGACGAAGAAGCGATCAGGAGGAAGATATCAATGGAAAGTGCCCTAGCTAACGCTGTCTCCATCGCGGACCAGAAGCAGAAGATCGAGCAGTACAGGCTCATCTTATGCTCCATCACATCCTCTCAGTCTAACGTTGTATACCAGACCAAACGTTTCATCGACCACTGTATAACCCAAAACTGAAACTATCATTCACGAAGGATTTAAGTCATCTTTTCCTATAGCTCTTAGTCCATGGTTTTGATTGTTTTCGTTTTCTTGTTCAGTGCTTTCGGATGATGTGGCGCTGTTTATCTCGAGGCAGTTGCTTCTGATTTTGGCGCAGGAACTTCGTCTCCTACCCCATGATGCTCAGAAGGACATTGCCCACTATGCCTTAACCCAGGTCCAGCCTCGTGTGGTGTCCTTCGAAGACCAGGTGGCTTTTTCTCTCTTCTGTTTATTTTGATGTGAATTCTTATTACGAAGACTTTCTTAATTGGAGAGTTTATCTGTTTTAAGGAGCTATTAAGTTAATTGTTTTTTAGAATATAATACAATGTAGATTGCAGTGTTATTCGAATGCCATTGTTGTGCAGAACTTTTTGTTTGTTTGATATTATCATAACTAAATCAAAGAGTAGAAATCCCAATGGGGAGGTATTGTAGAGGGTTAAATCATGATTAATCCTGTTTTTGTCAGTTTTGCGCTCAAAATTCAGTTTTGTAATGAGGCTGCATATAAATTGTCTAGTGGGTGGGATTAAGGTAGATTGAGCAAATAAGATTAATTAATTAGGTTACATGATTTAGAAATATGGCTTGCAAAATTAAAGAAAATGTATTTTTGGCTGGATTGAACAGTTAATTTTTCATTAAATCCGAAGTTAAACTACAAACAAATATCAAATAAATGTGGTAGCTTTATCTGAAATATTAAAGGTAATTTTAACATGGTTTTTCTCTCAATTCATTTAATCCTTGAGATAGCAACATCTTTAATTGAACAAAAAATTTCAATATTTCAGTGAACTAAATTGTAATAAAATTGTTTACAAATGTTATTAAGATAACACTAAAATGTCATTCAATATAAAACCTGTTAAGGTATTTTATTCCCAGAAGCAATTTTTGGTTTCTCATTCTATCATGGTAAAAGATGCCTCAACAGTAATTGGGTTCTAATGCTTTTCAAGACCTCTAGGAACTTCTTGCACATTTGTTAATTGTTATAACATATTAAAAAAAGAAAAACTGTCACTCTATTCTTGATCACTATTATTTTTCATATTTGATTTATAAGTCTTATAAATAATAAGCACTATAATATTGCTCTTATTATTTACCTTTTGATCTAGAATCTGATGATATTGTAAAAGAAGTATTTTTTATTTTGAATAGCATATTAATTTATATTTTTTATTGAAATGCATAACTCACATTTGTGTCATATATTTTCAATAATTTTTGTCTTCATTTTCCCACCATCTGATAAATATCATAACTTCACTATCCTAGCAACTTGAGGCACACTTGGGGGCAATGGATTGAAGCTTGTTTGTTTGCTTCATAGGTTCAATATGGTGGTTTGATGGATTTAAATTATGAAAAGCTACTCCAATGGTTTCATGTACTAGAATCTAAAGACTTAAGACTCTTTTCAGTTTTGAGCATTAACCTGGTTATGGATAATCTTCTGGGCCTTTTTTAATACTCCTGTAATTTAAAAATTGCAGGTATTAGCTTTCAGGGAGAAGCTTGCTGAGTTGTATGAATCTGAGAAGCAGTGGTCCAAAGCGGCACAGATGCTAAGTGGCATTGATTTGGATTCAGGGATTAGGTAAAAGTATAAAGTTTATCAGCAGTGTTTTTTACTTATATTTGATGTGCTTTTGAACAATTAGAGCATAATGTCACCTCCCAAAAGAGCCCTTATGGGTGGTGGGCAGCCCAGGACTTAAATACTGCTTTTCGGCCCTACACCTAGCTGATGTGGGACTATTTGTCCGTGACATTCTCCTCCACCCAATCACGTGACGCCCTCATCACGGATCGGCTCCACCGAGGGTCCCACTGGACCATAGAGAGTCCACACATCTGGCAGGCAGTAATCTGCTCTGATACCACTTGTCACCTCCCAAAAGAGCCCTTGTGGGTGGTGGGCAGCCCAGGACTTAAATACTGCTTTTCGGCCCTACACCTAGCTGATGTGGGACTATTTGTCCGTGACAATAAGTTGTACATCATTTGATTTTCTTAAACTTGATTAGGATTGATGACGCTAAAAAGCTATCTAAATGCGTCAAAATTGCTACTCTGTATCTCGAGGTTTGTTAATTTATTTCTGTGTAATTTAGAAAAATGTTTTAAAGCACCGCAATGTGTAATATGCGTAACTTTTCTTTTCATGCGTTAGGATGACGATGCTGTTAATGCTGAAGCTTTTATAAACAAGGCTTCCTTTTTGGTTGGGAATAGTCTACAAGAATCTGTTAGTTTACAGTACAAGGTAAAACACATTATCTGCAATTGAGATGGAATTCTAAAATTTGACATGCTTTTGTTGGTCTTACATGTTTCACCATTTTATTGTTAGATGTGCTATGCAAGGATTTTGGATTTAAAGAGGAAGTTTTTGGAAGCTGCACTTCGTTACTATGACATTTCACAGATTGAGAAACATCATATTGCTGATCAGTAAGCTCAACTTGTTCTATTTTTCATTTATCTCACTCCCACAATTTTCTAAGCATAAACCGGAAGTTTCTTGTGCTGTTGGGATTATTTATAATTAATTAAAACCTTATAATTTGTATTAAAAATCTATTGTTTCCAAATATTCCATTTATGAATGTGTATGTTCCTTGGTTTTTCTCTTTGGCTACTTGAAAGACTATTGTAAAATGAAATTTGTGTTCATTTTGATGTGAAAATAAATGAGTAATACACAACCTTGTTTTGATTACTTAATGTACCCTTCTTTTATGTCCATGTTAAGGATCCATATTAGCTAGACCCCATTGTGCATTATTTATATGAGAAACTTATAAAAATATCACATAGCTCTTTTGTATTTATTACATATTTACACTTATAGCACCTTGGTATCATAAACCTATGTTTGAAAATTTATTTCACTTTTAAAAAAGGTAGTGCTTGTGGTATTCTCTATTTTTTTTTTTTAAGATTTGAGTGATAAACATGTAAATATGAATGTTTTGGTGCTGGATATGTAAATATCTATGTATTGTGTGGTATGTATGTAAATGCCCCTTTTTATATTGGTAAATCAATATACACTTGCTGCGCTTCACTTTAGGGAGGTCAATACAGATGCTCTTGAGGTAACTCTAAGTGCTGCAGTGACATGCACTATACTGGCTGCCGCCGGTCCCCAACGGTCACGTGTTCTCGCTACTTTGTACAAGGTATGTTTTGATTGATACATGAGATTCAAGATGGTAGCTCCAAAAAAACCTCTTTTGTTTTATATCAGCAATTTGGTACCGCTTTTCTTTATCACAAAGGAAACTCCTTTGAATTGCCATTACTCAAAAGTCATTTTTTTAAATAGGGGAATTTACTCACATACCACCCAATACCTATGTTTTTACATATCTAACATATAAATTTCACTTCTTACATTTATACCACCCAAATCATTCACGTCACATAAAAAAATATGATCATTTTAACTTTTGAAAAGTGAAATACACTTTTTCCATGTATAAATAAGGTGGCTTGTATGTAAAAATTTATGTTTTGCTTTTAGATATGTAAATACATAAGAATTGAGTTGTATGTATGTAAATCTTCCTTCTAATTATTAAAATTGGTCCAACGTGCTTAATATGGTTTTGCTATGTCTTTTGTCAGTTAGTTCGGCATCATGATGCAAACCACAAAGTTAATTTGAATTTGATTGGTTGCCATTTTATATAAGCGTGCTTTTTGTCGGTTTGTCATTTTAGGATATGATTGGTTCATTGCTATTTTGGTTGTAGTGTTATTCAAGTTATCGTGCTATTTGACAGTTGCAGTGTTTTTTGTTTATTTTTTACTTGGTTAAAGAATCCAGTGCTATTGAGAATGATCTACTATTGTTACATCGGTTTTCTCTCTTCCTTCTGACGATCAAGACTAAGGAAACTTAGATGGGCATTCAGTTGGCAGCTATCGATTATGCTATTTTGGTCTAGAATGCTAATGAATCTATTGCGTGAATATGAGCATGGGGGTATATTATTCACATAAGCAAGATTTGCTGATTGAACAAAATAATTATTAGGAAAATATAGGAAATTTTGAATATATACTTGTATGCTTTATAGTACTAAAAAATTTTAGTATGCTATTAAAAATATAATATGAAAAATGTTACTTTTGGTTTTTCAAAGTTGATTTGATCAGTATATTAATATGGTTGTTACGCAATGTTGGGCTGTGAAAAAATAATTTTTGAATCGAATAGAACTCGCTCGAACTCGACTTGAGTTGTTGATTATAATTTCTTCATCCCACAACCTATTTTCTTTTATGGATGGTACTTTTGATTACAATCAAATCAATTATTCAAGAAGGCTTGATTTTGTAATTTTCTTAAGCTTTTGATATTTTGACGAACTAAACTTTTTAGTTAGAACTATAAGAAATTTTAGAAATGTTAGTATTGTGTGTTGTTGCATTCCATATGTATATTTTTCATTATTAAAGTATCTAGACTCTTCACTCGATAATGAATTACTTTAGAAATGGATAAAAAATTATTTTTTTGCTAATTATCACTCTTTATTGTGAGAGATAAATTTAGACTAAGGTTGGTTTATTGGATCTATAATGCTTTACTTTTAGTAGTTGCAATTTGATTGGGGGAAAGGAACACATACAACTAGTGGCTTAAAGTAAATGGTGATTGAGTGATGAAAAACCATATCAATGACTTATGGTTGTATTATCGTAGGTTATCATGAACTACGATTTATGCTGTCGGTGGAGTTTGTCAACCTGACAAGAGGAACCTTGTCATCAGTTATGTGTTGCATTGTTTAAATAGATCGCATAAATCTAGGATGAAATACTGTAATAAAGGGGTTAATTTTAAGGTCGATCTTGGCTAGCAATGGTCTTAATGTTCTATCCAGTCCATCTTCTAACTCACAACTCATAGGCTTATTCATTGGCGAACATTCAAGCTAAATTTTTTTTCTTGGCTTCATGGCTCAAAGTTACATTTTTGGCTTAATAATGTGAACTGAAAGTAGATTGTCTTGTTCTTCTTAGCACAGGACCTTTGAATATGATCGTATGTACACCAGGTACAATATTAGCTATTTATAAATTTTGGTTGAATTTGAATTTTTTTGTCATTAGCATGCGGAGGATAGATGAATGCCTATTTTGAGTGCAAATTGAACGATTATTTCTTAAGTTTTGGGGGCTTCTATATAATTTATTTTATAGATAATGCTTTTTTAATTTTATATTATTGTTTAGGGCGTTGAAATCATATAAATTTTGCTTTAATTGTGCTCATCACTAATACAAAGGCTTATGATTGATGAATTGATTTGACGATGAACTTCTCTGGTTATGATTTGCAATGATTTGTAGTTGAGAACTTCATTTTGATTAACTTCTCTAATTATGATTTGCAATGATTGTGCCCATATAGGTGCGAGAGCTTGAGAGATTTTCTATTTTGCAGTTAAGAGCCTATATTGATGAACATATCATGAACCTGACTAGAACAAATTTTATATATTTTCTCAATAGTCATGACATGAATCCTTTTGATCAGTGTGTAAGTGCTAGGGCGTCCCCTGGAAGCGACGCGCTGTATAGCCTGAATACAGTGATAAATGTGCAAGTGCCGCTACACCGGCACCCGGGTGTAGTGTTAAATAAGCAAGGGTTCCCACATTACGGGCGGATGCGGGTAAAGAAGTTAGTCGATGAAACTAATATTAGGATAGGATCTTGGAATATAGGCACTCTCAATGATAAATTAATGGAATTAGTTGATATTATGATTCATAGGAAAATTAATATCTTATGTATTCAAGAAACTAAGTGGGTTGGAGAAAAGGCTAAGGAGATTGTTAATTTAGATTTTAAACTTTGGTATTCTGGTAAGAGTCGCACTAGAAATGGTGTAGATGTAATTATAGATAAGAGTTTGAAAGATAATGTTGTAAAAATTAATAGAGTTGGTGATAGAATTATAGCCCTTAAGATTATCATTGATACTAAGATTTTTAATATTATAAGTGTTTATGCTCCTCAAGTAGGTTTACATACAGAGTCTAAAGATAAATTTTGGAATGACTTAGAAGACTTAATACAAATGATACCTCTTGAAGAAAGATTTTTTTAAATGGACATGTCGGTAGAGTGGTAGAAGATTTCAGAAATATTCATGGTGGCTACCGTTTTGGGAGTAACTAATGAAGAAGGTAAAACTATTTTAGATTTTGCTTTAGCATTTGATTTTGTTATTACTAATACTTTATTCAAGAAAAGGGATGAACATCTTATTACTTATAAAAGTGGATCTAATAAAACACAAATTGATTATTTTCTTATGAAAAGAAGAGATCGTCGTGATTGTAAAGATTGTAAAGT